GCATAATGATCTTAATAGTTTATGGTGAAGCTGGGTCGTAGTACAGTGGTCCCATTGGATTAATGCAGACAAAAGCTTCAGCGGCGATATCTCTGGTGCGTGGTGACTAAATATATTATAAATATTGCATTCATTCAATACTAATCCACCGTAAGAAAATAATAAAAACGAGACAAGAAGTAACCCACACTAACTTATTCTTATCAGGTAGGCTTGCTTAAATAATAATGTAAAGTCTAAATTTCTATAGTATAAGCTGGCGATAAATATTGTGTTAGATTATGGTTGCACATTTATATAATTCCTTGTGTAATTTGAAAGGGGATTTACACAATTTTACATCTATTATTGTCTGTTATTCGATCTGTAATGCCGTAGATAACAATCACCGCCGACAATTGGCAGTCGTAAAATTTAAGTTTATTTTAGGACTAATAATAATACAACGATCAATCATGATTGATAATGTATACAGTTCTTCCTTGTACAGTTCTAGCAATATTCACCCCTGACCCTCACAGGTCCTCTTCATCTCAAATGGATCCCACCAGGACGTCCAATCACCCCACGACCTCTCTTGCTGTTATAGGGAACCCTCACTCCGGTGCTGTCCTGTATCTAAAAAAATTGTTCAACAATGTTTTAACAATTCAAGAAAGCGCAACTCAAAGATTCTATTTCAAACTTTAAAAATAGAGGACAGCAAACCAGTTCAAGAAGTTTCACGGAACAAGTAGGTGGTCTAATAATTGATTATGATTTCGTTCATCGCTTATTTCCAAATATTAAAATTATATACCGGTAGAGGCCTACAGTACCTGAGAAATTACTAACAACACCTGTCATCCGCTTTGGAATTATTTCACTCAAGAACCAGAGTTAGAAAGTAAAGTATGTAATAATACACGATTATCATAAACACAAAAATGTAAATGCACTGTACACTACTGCTCATACATTTACTATTATGTTGATGTACAGTAATAAACATTAACGATAGCATTGTAATCATAGCCGTCGAAAGCATTTTGCAAGTGGTCTGGCCAATATAAGAGCGGAATGGGGGAGAGTCATACCCACATCATCCCCACCATGGTTAGGCTGAGGTGCGAATCTTTGAGGAAATAGTACCTGTAGATTGCAGAAAATGACACTCTAGTAAAATTCATCATCACATCACCATTATAGTCAAAATGAAGCGCCAACAAATTTCTCACGAACTTTTATCATCAATTTTCTGCAGCCATAGAAGTCATTATAGTATGTGTGATGAGGCCATGAAAAATAAGACTTACACTGTCTTTGATGTATTTACTTTCCTTTATCACTATATCCAAGCCCATCTCAGCCCCACCATGGTTTGGACTGAGGTGTAAAAATTGTGGGAAATAAATAGTACCTCTAGATGGCGGGAAATGACACTTCTATATATAATTCATCATACATCACCATTATAGTAAAAATGAAGCGCCAACAAATTTCTCATGATCGTTTATCAATGGTTTTCCGCAAACATAGAGATCTATGCATGATGTACCATAGAAAATAAAACTTAAAAACATTGTCTTTGATGTATTTACTTACTTCAAATCCGTGAGTCCACACCCACCCCAGCGCCATCATGGTTGAGGAGTAATATCTTAAGATGGCCGGAATGACACTCTTATAGGTCTATAGTAAAATCCATCATCATCGCATCACCATGATCTTTTATCTGCAATTTTCTCGGAAATAATAGAGATCTAAATAACTTCTGTATTGTACCATATAAAATAAAACTTAATTGCCTTTAATGTATTTACTTTAATTTACCTACTTCGGGCGCCGAAAACCAATATTATACTTTTTCTCATATTTAAAAATGAGCACTCGAGTCGTGTATTACAGATAATTAAAATTTTAGTGGGCAGAGATACCGGAATCTTGCTATAAGAAGATGTACAGTACTCTACTTTGGCTGTACAACGCTCTTTCGTTAAAACCTGGGTCTTTTTGATGCAGTTCATTTCAACAACTTCCATGCATCTTCTTTACTTATGAAATTACACTGTGGTCGAAAAATGAATGAGACCAAAACCCACTTAAAATTATGTGGGGGAAGTGTACCCCGTTTCCCCCGTCTCCCCATGATCTACGCCCATATTGGAGCCAGTACTCA